ATAAATTAAGTCCCACTGTTTATCAAAAAGAGCACTGCTTCGCTTTAATTGTTTTGTTACCAGTGATTTTTTTGTCAAAAAAGATGAGTTTTACCATCTGAAGTTTTTGTTGTTTCTATTTAATTTTGAATTAGGTCAATCATGTTGTTTGTTTCGGCTCTTTAAACGACTTTTGCTGTTTTCAAAATAAAACTACAAATGGCTTAATGTAATCCCTTTCATTTTTTAATTGCGAAGCTCATTATGATTTTAGCAGCTTCCTTTCCTCTGGCGAGCATTCATTTTTCTGCTTTATCAAGGAACTTTTCAGTCAAATAAAATATTAACTTCAGAACCGTATCAGCAGTAAATAGGAGTGTTCTGGAAATTGCAAGAATGTTTATTTCTTTTTTAAAGCTGCAACTGAGATTTCTGAGGAGCTTCACTTATCACTGGTCAGACTTGCAACTGGGATCCTCCTTTTTCAGGCTTCTTTGACCGACCACAGACTACTGCCAACCGCTAAAAAGCAGAGTAGGTATAAAAGCATTATAAAGTGAGGAAGTGTTTCAAAGAGCTTCCCTGGATGTATTGACACGCATTTAACTAATTATTAATTCTTAGCTGCTATGCTTACGGTTTTGTAGCTGGGTTTCTGTTGTACCCGTTTCTACTTTATTACTTTTGAAGTCTGGATGAAAGGTTTGAGCAATATGAGTTGATATGCTTAGAGGATTTGATGGCTCTTCGCGCAACAAAAAAAGAATCGTTGATGAGCAAAATTGTCGACTTTTCCTATTGCAGATTTGTGCTATTTAGTGCAGTGGTTGCTGAAATGTAGTACGAAGGTTTGTCAAGAAGCCATGGGTTCACCTGCGGCTCGTTATAAGAGGAAAGAAAAGGGGAGGACTCCTAGAAATGAAAGCTGAGGTGGAACTAAAGAAGAGCTGAAAGTGAACAACAGGAAGTACTATGGGGTGAGGGAGTACTCAATATCATTGAGCCATACCCATTAGGGAAGAAAAACGATGATGCAGGAGAGATCACGTGCAGGCATATTCTACGTGTTGGACTGCTGTACGGCGTAATTTTTCAGAATTGCACAAAAATCAGGTTGGCTAACACGCCCAATGACAAACTGAGAAAAAACTTTTATCAAGTGTATACCGCTCTGGAGAGAATATGTCTGTTTCGAGACTTTTTCCCCATAAAGTCCTTTTAGCATGAAAGTTGACGTTTAAGCATGGCTGAACGCGTTTTACAATCGCCAGTCTTCTGTAACTGCCAACTGCGTACGAGTACAGCAAAAGATCAACAGAACATTCATTTAATTATTTTGAATAGAACACTGTCTAACGAAGATGTACGTATTAGGGCGGTTCTTTGGAAAGTGCACTGTAAAAGGAAAGTGTAGACGTTAACCAGCAACAAAATAATGTACTGCAGAAAAGAAACAGGGTTAGTTAAGTTTGTCAACAATCTTGATATAAAAATTTGACACGATTTTTAGCGAAAATTGGTTGAAAAAAGAATGAAAAAAAGGTTAGATGACGCCAAGAACAATGAGCTTGCACTGAAATGTATAAAATCTCAACCACAGAAATCCTGATATTGTATAGTAGTAATAAAGACTAAGTGGAGCAAGAATGAGAACGTAGAGCACAAAAAATACGCAAAAAAAAACAACTTTAGGGGATATTTTAGCGTTTTTAGAGTTAAAAAGCTAATTCTTTTTGAAGATTTAATGGACATACTACCGGAATTTACTGAACCCAACCGCTTCCCGCTATAGCGAGTCTTGGAACTACTTTGGAAATGAAAACGAGTGTATATCTCCCGCTGATAATTTCCTCGGTCGTCTCTTGTACTAAATCAACAAGCTGTATACGGCTAGTGTACTAAAAAATGGCCTGAATGTTGCTAGGCAGGCTGGAAGAATTGGTTACCTGAAGAGAGTTGCTGGCAAGTGATGACGTTTTTTAGGTTTTTGGGTACGCTGCCAAATATTTTATAAAAGTTTACAGTCGTTACTTGGCTATTTTTTAGCACCGTGTTATCCTTCCTGACTCGAGTGTTATCAGCTCGATTTCTGATTAGATTGCTGAAAAGCTGGTTGAGTCTGACATATTCAATGGCTGCACCTCCTTTTCTGGTTATTATTACGTTGTGTTTAATTCATTTATGTATTATAATTCTGTTTACTTGGGGTTACTTCCCTTCCCGGCATACCGTGCACGATAAAGCTTCCAAAGACAAGAAAGGTGACTGGTTAGATGGCATGGAGTTTTTGATACAAGGTAAACTTGTACCATTTAGCTCGTTCTCTGCTGAAAAGGATTTTCAATTCTATCGAGCCGTTTCCAGACAGTGATTGTCGTAATCGGGTGAGGTCTATACTGAAGCGTGAGGAACATAAGAAGTTGGTAATTATGCTTATCGACGCTTGGCAGAAAAGCTTCTTTAATGAAACAAGCATGCCATTCCTTGCAAAACTCAGTTCTCTTGGGAATGCTAAAATTTTCGAAGCTAACGTGCAACCGCCGACTGTCACAATGCCGAGAATTAAGGTTTGTGTCTGATGAATCATATCTTTTCTTTCTAATTCCAACTTCACTTACATTTTCTAATTTTTTGTTAAGGCTCTTACTGCTGGTATTGTCCCCTCTTTCATCGACGTTTTATTTAATTTTGCTTCAGTAGCTGTGACAGAGGATAATCTTATAGATCGGATGAAGGCAGCGGGGAAAAGGTTTTTACTTGTTTCTTACGCGTAAATGTTATGCTCGTTAACACACTCATCTTTAGCATTTTCATCTATTACGCATGACGCTTTTGTCGTTTTCAAAAGTTCTGAGATCGGATTTCTTGCAATTTTGTAGTGACTTTAAACAAGTTAAAATGCTGTTGGTAAAGACGATTACATTCACAAGGGTTTGGTTTTTTGAGGTCATTGTTTTCAGCGGAGCTTAAGACCCTGTTCAGGAAAGGGAGTCTTAGGAAAATTTGTCAAAGGCGCTGTTTGAGAAAACAAGAAGCGTAAAGAAATCTAGGATTAAATTTGGAGAATTTACTCTATAATACTTTGCTGCCCGAATACTTTTTGCTTGAGACGGTAATTTGCTTCCCCTGCAACAACTTTCGCTGCTCTCTTCACTCATTTTACTGGTGAAGCTGAGATTGAACAGTACGTTAGCTGCACAGATACTCCAGCTTATGCAGGAGAGTTCGTAGCAGATTTCATTGGGGAATCTTGCAGAGTCACTAATTTATGTATTATGGATTCTGCTTTTGCTACATATCTACGGGAACTTTTAAAGAAAAACATTTCATTACTTTCCAAATAATTTTCTTGGAAATCTAAATTTAGAAGATGATTAGAAGCGAAAATTACTGAGTCTCTCACTGTCTTTTTAACTCGTTTTTGTTCACTTTTCCAGATTAGTTTTTTGTGGCGATGATACTTGGCTTCGACTTTTCCCTGGACGCTTTAATAGTCACTCTGTTGGTGTGGTATCATTCTATGTCAGTGACTACACAGAGGTATGATGGTTTCCACTGCATAAGTGTTATACTCTCCAACCGTTTATATGTACTGTGACTTACACTTCAAGGTCGATGATAACGTCACAAGATGTGCCGTTAAGCAACTCATACCACGAAATATTGGAGAATGGGATGTAATGGTGTTGCATTATTTAGGGCTTGACCATATAGGTTACTTACAAATTAAATTTTATTTTTGAGCGCTTTTACGTCATAGCTACGTTGCTTTCAATTACCTTGCTTATTAGGGCATTCCCTTGGTGGGACGCATGGTCAAATTGTGATTAAACTCGCCGAGATGGACAGGATGGTTAAAAAAATATATTCGGATTTGAACAATGTGTGTTTTTTGCTTCATTTTTGGGGAAAACTGTAGAAAAAATTACTTTGGACACGTGGTAGATCATGTTACAGAAGTTTTAGTTTTACGGCGACAACTTCCTAATCGTAGTTCTGGGTGATCATGGGATGACTGGACTAGGTGGACATGGTGGGTCTTCCTTTAGTGAAACTCACGTCCCTCTTGCGTTTGTTGATGGCACGCCGGTTGCCGAAAAGGTTAGTAGAAGCTTACGGACGACTGCAAAAAGTGGTATATATTTTATTCATTTTTTCTCAGTATCGGCGTAATGTATTTGGTACGACCAAAAGAATTATAGAACGATATAACGGGCGCAATTTAAGTTGAACAGGTTGATCTGGTGCCTACGTTGTCTTTTCTTAACCATGTAGCTATTCCACAAGGCAGCTTAGGAGTTTCACTTATTGGAAGTATTATGCACGATGGTGCGTCAAAAAACTTTATTACTCTCCTGTCGTTGGGAATGAATACTCTTCATTTTGTGAACCATTCAAATGTGGATGCCGGTAGTTCTTACTTGTTAGTTCTTTTTATGTGTACTTGTCGGAGCCCTTTTTTTCAAAACTTCATTTATTTAAATTTATATGGGAGAAGAATGCGCAAAAATTAACATATTTATAGTTCTAGATCGTTTAAATTTGTGCCTCAAAAAGTTGCGGTCTTTCCTTTCAAAGTACTGCTGGGATTACGAAATTTCGAATGAGATTTTCCGTGTTGTTGCTAGAGATTGTGAGGCATCGCTTCGTTCCTTTCAAAAAGCTGCATTATTGAACCAGACAAATGTAGATTTTTGTTTATGTTCTATAAGTGTTGGACTTGCTCTGCTGGTTAGCCGTCTTTGTTTTTTGGATCACTAAAGCCTTGTTTTTTCATATATTTCGTGAAACACGTTTGGTGTTTTCTCATTTTGCTTCTTTGAGAGGGGAGGGAAGGGTTACAAAAGGAATTAAAGTTAAAAAGAGGTGGTCCGGCCAACCCATGATTGGGCTGTACTTGGATCTGACAGCACTCCAGCGTAAGCTTTAGCTTTTATTGGTTTTCTTACTTCAAGGATCATAAACAAGCTTGTAGTCACTGCGAAGCAAAGACATACAATGTATTGTCAGCTGTCAGTGTCTGTCATAGTTTTTATAACTGTAATATTTTTTTATATCGAGTAAGGGGAATGAAGGGGATGCTAGGTGAAGGAATAGAGATGGAAATGAAATGTGGATATAGTTGTTGCATACAATTTCTCCTAGCTTGGCGGAGCTGTACTTCTAATGGTATTATGTGTACAGAGCTAACTGAAGATGTTCTTCACTGAACAGCATTTGCTAAGAAATGTAACTCTTTTAGAGTGGATGTTACACCATAAATTTTTAGAAGCTATAGTTGAAAAAAACGAATAAAATTTAAAAGTTTGACAAAAGTGTGAAACTTAGTTTCTACTCTCTCCCATGTTTTACTACCGTTTGCCACAACGCTGTAGCCCGAAATGCCAGAGCATAATTCCTAAACCACAAGTAATCTGCGTAACTTTTCTTTGGATATGCTTAGTCGTTTGAGCACCACCTTTTTTCTAACATGCTGACAAGTAGGTTGAAAAGCAGTTGCTTACAGGTGACTTCCTTGTCATATTTCCTGTACTACAATGCGATACTACCCAGAAGTGAGGTCCTTGCCACTGAAAAGACGTCTGCCATGTTCAGTGGTTGGTTTTGCTACAGTAAATCTTCCTCGACATTAGGAAACAAAAAATTTAGCCAAACTTCTGTAGTTTCGATTGTTTCGCTGCAAACATTTGTTGGTTTTTGCGTTTCCTGTCAATCATCGTGAACTTTTCATTTTCAGAAAAACCTTTATCGAAGAAGTCGTGGTATTTGTTGGCATCAGTGCAGCTTACTACTTTTTTTTCGTCTAGCTTTATTGAGGAAGAACATGACGTACAGTAAACCTTTTGCAGCTTTCAGTGAATTCGTTTATCAATTATTTTCTTCTTCGCTTCTGTAGCACTCCGTTACTGTTTCTTAATTTTTACAGATACTTTTTGCTCTCATCTGGTGCGTTTATCATACTACTTCAAAAGTTTTATTCTGTTTTGGTCTCCTACCGAAGAAGAAAAGATTTTTATCGCAGAAGTGTCGCAGAGGAAACTTGGTACTGGCAACAAGAATAGCGTTATCGCATTACTGAAATAACAAAAATAGGTTTTCTACTGCGTAAAATTTATTTTCGACTCCACTGTTGTTGTTTAATGCGACTTTTTGATACTTCTTATTGTGACAGGTTTGGCATCTATAAGGATTTGGCGAGACGAGATTTTTTCCCTGTGCTAGCTTTAATTTGGCTTCATAGAATATCTCGAATTTTTACTGAAGGGACGCGGAGACGTTGGTTGGTGAAGGAAGAAGACATAAAGAACAATAGTACAGATTGTTTGGTCTTATTGAGTTTCCATATATGATTTCAAATACTGCCCCACTTGTGCTTCTTCCAGAATTATTCAAAATGAGATTTTAGCAATTTTTGGAGTGCTTTACGATGTGATAACAAGCGCTGGCTCAATCTTTCAAGATGATGCTACGGTTATATTGTAAGTTTTTTATAACTTGTTTCAGTGCTTACGGAATATTAAATTGATATTGAAAAGAACACTGTTTGTGTCTGCCGCTGGCGGGAAGTAGCTTGTTTTTACAAGAATTTGATTAATAGTAGCGATATTAATGCTTCTCCAGGTTTACTCCTCGTTCTTGTTATATCACATGTGGTGAAAGCTTTTACAGATCCTTTCATCCACTTCTCAATGCAACTGTTAACTTTATTGTGGTATCGTTTCTCATTTCGAGCTGGTATTTCCTTTCATTCAGTAAGGGGAAGGCAATAGCCGATTTATTCAAAATGGTAGTGGCCGGGTTTTCCATTCTTCTGATGAAGCAATGCACTTCCGCTTACTTTGGGTAGGAAATCGGTTTAAACAATTTTTACCGCTAAATAGTAAATTCCATGCTCGGTGACTACCCTAGTCATATTTTTGTTTGTTTGATCGTTTATTGAACCCAAAGACTTGCTATTATGGAGCATTTTTGTTAAGTCTTCATGCAATATTTAAGTGAACGACTCTTATGGTTTGGACTTCTTGGAACAGTCGGACTGCTTTCAATTTGTTTTCGGCGACCGCTGACTGGGCTTTTTTTATGGGCAGCGTTTCTTTATCGGAAGAACTACTTCCCCTTGGTTATTTGCAATTTTATTGCTGGATTCCTGTTGTCTAGGATTGAAGAGAATGAGTTCATTTTTTACCTAGCCACATTTTGCGCCTTCTTTTATCCGGTTTGTCTGAAACTTGTTTTTTCTCGCTTATTTGCTCTTATTCTATTGTTGTCTCTCATTTTCTTAAAAGGATTTAAAAATTTAGTTTTAATACCTTATCAGCCTACTTAATACCTACTTCTCCACTTATTAAACTTTAGGGGAACTCGAACAGTCTTTCCACAGTGGATGTTTCGGTTGGTTATATCGGAGTGCGGACCTATAGGCCGGTGATCGTCGGCTTTCAGCTCCTCCTTGGTACTTACGCCGGACCAATCTGTACCTTAATTTCTTGGTCTGAATACACGGTTGCAACGGTAAATGCCGTGAATGCTTATCGACTAACGTCATTTGTAGCATCCATAACTTTTTTACGATCGTCCTTGTCTTTATTAGCACTTTTGGTGTTCAGGAACCATCTGTTTATCTGGACAGTTTTTGCACCTAAGTTCATTTATGAGACTGCCCATTTCCTACTTTTCTGTTCAATAATTTTAATCATTCTTCTAAAGTGTTGTAGGTTTTGCTGATACAGTTTAGTCTTTAAGCAACAATACTTTCTGGACCCCATTTTTGTAGCTGTCTTCCGGTGTTTGGTAATCGCACCCTGCGAACAAGACCTCAAGTTTACATGGATTACTGAGCAAGCTTTGGTACTGCAGGGGTTGCTGAATTGAACGCTGCAAGTTTTACAGCTATCGTGACCTGGAATTGACGGGGGTAACACGCCCCCGCAAAGTCTGCCGTCAAAAAAACTAAGGAAACGTTGTCCCAACTAGAAAGAGCTGAACTTTGGATGAAACACCTGAAAGTTTCCAAAAGGACAGCGGATGCATGAGCACTGACGAAAGAGTGTGACTCCTGCAGGCAAAAACAAAAACCAATTTATTAGGATAAAGGCGTTGCATCCAAAAAGTCCAAAAAAAAAACAACAAATTAGCTGAGTTCTTTAAAAAACAAGCATAAAAGTTACAACATTAAAAGAACATTTTACGGAGGACGACGCGATGAAACCGAAAACGTTGTTGCTGCCGCCAAAATGTAGTATTCTGAAAGTGGGTTAAATGTAATAGCACTAACAGCACCTCGAACTACCCCTGCTATTATGCCGGGTCGTCAAAATGCATCAGGAGCATAAAATTACAGGGCAAAGTTTGGCACAACATGAAGGATAGAAAACTTGTAGTACCACTTTGAACAACATTTGCCTTCTCCACAGCATTTCTTTTCTCCATGGCTCTTCTTTGGTTCTTTCTCGGCACACTTGCAATCCTTGTTGCAGGCTTCTAAAAACACAAGAGTAAAGAAGAAACCTAGTCACCCTAATAACTGAGTGCAAGCAAAGTACCTGATGCAAAAAACTCTCAGTAACCGCTTGCTTGATGTTTAAGCGTGTCATACATTTTCCGAATCAGATGCTGTACTTGCGCCCAATTATTGAGTAAAAGTATATATGCTCATCTACAAGCCTGAGCTAATAAAAAAATTTAGTAAGGCAAAACCAGTATTATTTTTTGGCTAAAAGATAAAACCAATCTTACCGCCCTCTTTCTTCGTGCAGCAGTGTTTTGACTTGTCAGGGCAGGTGGAGCAGTTGCAAGGCTTTCCTTCTTCACAACCTGTAATACAATCCCTTAACCGCTTCAGTAACACTTACGACTCTTAGAAACTATAAAATTCCTCTTTTATCGCACCCAGTTCATTTTTCAATAGCAAAAGCAATTTCGTACTGCGACACTACTATAAGGGGATATGATGCTCGCCAACTTATTCTGGTCTGCCGTCCCCTCTAAAAATAAGTAATCTGTCATTGTTCTCCATCGGTCTGCCCTCTCTTGTCCTTTGTATGCTCTTATCTCCAACACAGATTTAGGCTACATGTATATGTTCTGCAAATCTATTTCAGACAAAAAATAACAGACTTTTCAAACGCAGTATGTAACCTGTGGGGCATTTTAACCGACATCTTCATATTTAATTATTATATATATATATATATATATATATATATATATAT